TCCAGCTGTTGTAAATTGAAGCACGCACATGGCCAGATCTGATTTTATTACCATTTTTATACAATCTGAAACTATTCTGTCACAAATCAGGGTCAGGTGACACACAGGACAAGGCAACCTGTTGTAAATGTGATCTGATTACCAAGCAGCCAAAATGCAGTCATGTGACCAGAGGGAGGTGGGCAACATTTTACAACAGCTGGAACTGCTTTACAGGCCATCAAGCACCCTTGAGGCTGAATCTGAATGTTTTCCCTGCAAACTATTCAGTTGAAGGAACATGTTGAAACTCTTCGAATAATAAAGAAGATTGCTTTTATTATTGTTACTATTTACTAGGGTTGGTCACCCGGTCAGCTAAATTCTTTTTAACCCATGTATGAAATCCTTCCAAAGGACTTGGATTAGGCAAATATAACTAAATTTGTTGGCTACTCAACCCCAGTGAATTTGGACTGTAATAATCAACAATAATACAGTAATAATTTATTAAATTTATATGCCCCTCCCCCCAAACTCTCAACGTTTCTGGGCAATTTACAATGCCTATAAACAATAAAAAAAATGCAAAAAATAAAGCAGAAGGCACAGGGACAATGAGGCAGAGGGCATAACAAAAAATGGGCATCAACCTGATCTTTAAGGTGCTTTGAAATTGAAATAGGATGCCTGTAAAGGTATACATGTTTTCAGAAAACAAGAACTTCTGGTGTTTAGCAGGAAAGGGTTTAAGGTACAGAAGAGGGGAAGAACTCCTGCCCTAAGTCATCCATTAACTTTTTCAAAAGGACAAGTGAAACTAAAGCTTCCTTCCACCTACCAACATTTCTGAGTGTCATTTGTGAAACCACTGCAATTCCTCCAGGGTTTCTGCCTGGAAAAAAATATAATTGTTCCCATAGGTAGAGGTGAGATCACCAGACAAGTGACTAGAATTTCACTGTGTTCGCGCCACATGCTTAGCCTGGTTAATAATGAAAGTATTTTCTGATTTTGCTCAGTATAATGGCTGATATGTGGCTTTTGAAAGCTCCCATTGTGTCTATCCCAAGGGAAACATTTTAGGTCTACTTAGTACTTTCATGGATACAAGGTTCCCCTAATTCAGCATCTCTATCTGGACACTAATAACAGTGATGAGTAAGAGAAATGTGGAAAGGGAGGCAGTTTGCTAAAAGATGCTGAACTGAGCTGTAGTTTTCTTCCCAAATTTGCTTCTTGTATTAAAATAATTCAGTGAACTTATTCTGCCCATTTGCATTCTCCTGAAAGAGCAACATTCAGCCTGCCTTTGTTGCTGAATCGCTCTTTTGAGTCCCTATGCAACATTTAGCCGGGAGACACAGATGACCTGAGACCATTCCAAATTCTTTTTATTTTCCTTTAATAAATGTAGGCCTGAAGCATCTTTTATGTGCCTTAATCAACAGTTCTTGGTGGTTAAGTAAAGTACACCCAGAAGGATGTTGTTCTACAAAAGTATTTTTGTACAAAGAGAAGACAGCCTAACAACACAACATCTAACAAATTTGGATTTGGGGGAATTACTGTAATTTGTCAGTCCTCTTTCCTGGGTGCCTAGAATGATCCCCCCCCCACCCGCTTTTGCAGGTACTCAACCTACAATCACAATGGAGTCCAAAATTTCTATTGTTAAGCAAGACAGTTGTTAACTGAGTTTTGCCCCATTTTACAACCTTTCTTACCATAGTTAAGTGTTGATTGACTGAACTCCAGCCCCATTATAACTGAGTGTGTGTTGTGTTTTCCTGCTTTAAATTGTATTGTTTTGTGTTTTTAATCTTTTTAATCTTTTGATTGTTTTTATGTAAGCTGCCCAGAGTCCTTCGGGATTGGGCGGCATGCAAATCTATTAAAATTCAATTCAATTCAAAATTCAAATTCAATTGCTGCA